AGGAGCTGACACTGAAATAGAAAATATCTGACATTAATTGACCTGATAGAAAAATAGGAATAAAATATGGAATTAATTAATGGAGAATTCTGACACTAACCAAAGCTCTGGTTTAAATTCATGCAAGCCAGTGGGGGGGGGGAGATTGCCTGCGTCTTTGGGTAAATGAAAGAAGTGGTATCGGCGACACCCGTTCATCAAAAAAGATTAACTGTTGTGCATTACCTCATAGAAAAATTGAGCTTTACAGGTGTCTTTCTTTACTTTTAACGTTTAAAAGTTTCGATATTGAAATGACCTATGAATAACACACAGTGGTGTTGTGCACCTAACGGCGCGGCGCTTGGATAATTTGGCGGCCCATCCCCATTTACCAGAAAGTGTGCGGTGTGTGTTCAGACTCCCAATTCCCCCAACCTCTACAGTGTAACGCTCATACATTAACTTTAAGTTAGTCGTGTATTTCAATACAGTAGGCCTAATCATTCCTTGATGAAGCAACAAATCGGTTGGTACATTCATAACCTGACATAACTATTTTCAAGATGTATTAACTGACATAACTACTCCACACAGCTAAAAATCGAATGAGGCCGAGGTGAGTTGATGTGTCTTGTTCAACCCATCGCCCATCCTGTCCATATGGTACCAGCGAGCTTCTTTAAAAAAGGGCTACGCTTTCCCTCCCCCTTGGGGATATTGCTGACACGCCCTTCCTCTTCCCCAAATGCCACGACTATGTTAACTCACACCCTGCCCTTTGCACTTCCCGATGGAGTATGAATAACATTACCACATAACAACATGTCCACCACTGTCCCTGTTGTGCTTTGGCAAGCATCAATCACTGCACGTTTGCTTCGTCACAGAGAGCGCCTTACATACTGTTGTTCCCATGGCTAATCCAGAACGTTTATTGAGCCTCTACGTTCGTCAACTTACCAATTGTATCTGATGGTTGTGCCAAGGTGATTTGTTTTCGGTCAAGATATCTCTCGTTGGAAGGAGAATTATTTTAGCGATCAACTGCCTGAAATATGGCGTCCACAAATGCTTGATTAT